GGAACCGGCGGGATGGGGGGGACTTACCTCCTCCTGCTGCTTCCTCCTCTGCCTCCCCCCCCCGCGAGTATCGCGGGTCCGCCCCTTGTAATCTTATAAACCTCAATCATGTGTGGGTTCAGCCCTATTCTCCCTGCAACCCCATGGACCCATTTGCACTTGATCATCCTCCCTACCGCACGCATGGCTGCACAGCAGGCCTGGTCCTTCCAGATATCCTTCTGTCTCTGCACTGCTGAACTTCAAGAGCAGACCAATCTATGCCAGCTGGTGGCAATGGAAAGAGAAGACTTCTCTCCCTGAAGCGGCTGAAATGATAATAATAACCCACTTTCGAATAATAATAATAATGCTAGCCTAACTGACAGGCAGAGGTGAAAATAATTTACATTTTTTTACTGGTACTGCCTTCCTCAGGGGCTCAAAGCAGGAGCTCTGGCCTCTTCCTTTCCAGCCTGCTTCCAACTCATAACTCAGGCCGGCGTGTGAATAATAAAAAGGATGTGCTTTCAGCAATGTTAAGTAGCAATGTTAAATATGAGGACCGCCCTGAGCCGAATACCCCAGGCTAGCCCAATCTTGTCAGATTTCGGAAGCTAAGCAGGGTCGGACCTGGCTAATATGTGGATGGGAGAGCCAGCTGCGGTGTAGTGGTTAGGAGTGGCTGAATCGAATCCAGAGAACCGGGTTTGATTCCCCACTCCTCCACATGAAGCCAGCTGGGTGACCTTGGGTCAGCCACAGTTCTCCCAGAGTCCTCTCAGCCCCACCTACCTCACAGTTGCGGGGAGAGGAAGAGAAGGTGATTGTAAGCTGCTCCAAACCTCCTTCTGGCAGTGAAGGGCAGGGTGTGAAAACCACCTCTTCCAAGGAATACCAGCACTATGACGCGGAGCCAGGCAACACCAAACCACCTCTGAACCCCTCTTGATTTAAAAACCCTGCAGGGTCGTCGATGGCACTTTCCACCACCAAGTATCAGGGCTACACATCTTAGACATACTCACCTGGGAGTAATTCTAGAACTTCATATATAAACGGCTGTTCAGTGAATACCCATTACCTCCCTCTGATAAAATGGGTCCCTCCAGTCCGTAAAAAGTTATGCCTAGAATAAAAATTAAAAAAAGGGTTAGACAGACTATGCCCAGAGCAAAAATTCAAAAGTGTTAGGCTGGACCCTGTCACAAGACATTTTGTTCAGGGGTGGGGAGCGCCACCACTACTAACTTCGGAGGGATCTTCCTTCTGCGTGTAAACAAGAGGTTCCGCCTGCAAACGCCGTCTCCTTAATACGGACGCGTGCAGGAATCGTGCAAAGTGCGGGGGGAGAAAAAGAGGGTGGGGGGGGAAGCGCCCAGACGAGCTCTTGCAACAGGCTTTTCTGGAGAAAGCGGCTCTCCGCGGCAACGAGCAAGCAGGCCTGAAGGTTGGCTTAGTAACCAGAGACCTGCCAGGGCCCCAGAACGGGGCGGGACGGCGAGACGGGATCCCAACCCGCCTGTGTCAGCAGCTTCCCTGATGCCAGAGGGGCGTGAGTGGCTGAGTGGCAGGCGAGGGAGGCTTCGCGGCTGGTTACAATGGTTACAGCCCTGGAGAGGCAGCGGTAGAGACGCGCGCAACGCTCCCGGGAGCTGCCTGGCCTGAGGCAGGGGGGGAGGGGGGGGGGTGGACTCACCCCGCCGAGCCCCCTGCCTGCTCGCATCGTCGACCCTCCCTGCCTGTGCTTATCGTTGTTATTATTCTCGCGGAGCCGGGCAGCTTTTCCAAGCAAAGGAGGCGAAGGAGAGAGAGAGAGAGAGAGAGAGAGAGGCTTGGAGCAAGAGCGAGCTTGGAGCTGCCTCACCACCTCCTCCTCCTCCTGGCCAAACAAAAAGGGGACGGCAGCAGGCAGGCAGGCGGGCGATGGGGGATCCCGGGCTTGCAAAATAGCAGGCGGGAGGAGATGTTGTGCCCCCCCCCAGCCGGGGCTCCTTTGCAGATTCCAGCTCGCCCCGTGGTGGGGGAGAGAGGCGAGAGCCCCCTTTGCCAGCAGCACGCCAGGATCGAGTCTCTAACTCAAAGCGGCCGGTAAGTTCAGTCTGCATGGGAAAGGGTTGGTTTCCCCCCTCCACCTTTCTTTGTACCTAACCATTATCGTTGGGGGAGCAGAAGGGGGGGACCGTGGACGTCTCGCAGCCCCCCTCCTTCCTCCCCGCAGGCGTGTGGCTACCCCTAAGGCGAGGGTCCTTGGGCGCACGCTGGTATTGCTGACGGATGCAATTCAGGGAAACTTTGAAGGGGTTTTGTGTTTGTTATGAGTGAGGGTTTCCCCCCCTCCCCTCCTGAGGTCTGCAGGAGGAGAAAGTGAAGAGCTGGGCTGGAACCGCTGTGGGAAAGGGGGAGCAAATACCCCACAGCAGGGCTTGGAAGGGAGTCCTGTGGGGGCATCCTGTGTGGTGAACAATGTTCCCTCTAAGCTGTGGAGTCTTATGAGCAAAAATTCTACTGGCTTTAAAGCTGTGAGCCAGCAATTTGGCTGCTGCATAAATCAGTTTGCTCTGGAGCCATCCTTCCTGAGCCAAGACAAAAATCTGTGAGCTGGAGGCTAAAAAATTGTGAGCTAGCTCACACTAACTCAGCTTAGAGGGAACACTGGTGGTGAAGGTGGGGGGGGGGCTGACCTGGGAAGCGAACCGCCAGAAGTGCTCTTATTTGGAAGGGGCGAACAAGGTAAAGGTGTCCCAGGCGGTGATTTTTGGAGTGCTACAACATCAATTTCCGTATTGAAGTGCCCTATAGGGAATTTTGTATGTAATAATTACATCCCTCTTCGGGTTGGGAAAGTCTGGGAGGCCGGAGTGGCGAGAGAAGCACGTGTGGCTTTTCTTCGAGCTGAGAGGAGCGTATGGATGAAGTTGTAAAGGAGAAGTTTGGGGACTGTAAAGATACTTCCCTGAAGATGTGCCTGCTGGAGAGAAGAGGTGGGGGAAATTGGGTATATCTCTCTCCCCCCCCCCCCAATGCTCCATTTTGTATCTCTGTTTCTTTCAAACAGCAGGCCTGTGTGTGTGTCCTCTCTCTTTTTCATGGTTGTGGAAAAACTGGTGTCTCCTCTGAAGAATGCAAGGCAAGAGGGGGAAAGTCTATGCCATTTGTTGCAAGCTGTTTTTCTGTTGTGATTATGGTGTCCCGCTATTTCCTGCCCAGAATCCTCATAGCTGAAGTTCCGAGGCTGACGAAGCAGTGAATGTGGAGAATTCTTTTTGGAATAATAATTAAACCTGAAAGTTAAGACACCTGGACTTTATTACAAGAAGAATCGTTAACACTTTCTGCCAAACCTTTTTCGGAAGACTGTGGCATGCCAGCTTTCAGTCTTAAATTTTAAGATGTGGGCTTATTCCAGTTAGACTAGAGCAGTGTTCCCTCTAAGCTGTGGAGTCCTGTGAGTAAAAATTCTACTTTGTGAGCCACTGGCATTAAGGTTGTGAGCAGGCGATTTGGCTGCTGCATCAGTCAGTTTGCTCTGGAGCCCTCCTTCCTGAGCTAAGGCAAAAATGTGTGAGCTGGAGGCTAAAAAACTGTGAGCTAGCTCTCACTAACTCAGCTTAGAGGGAACACTGGACTAGAGTAACTTTGCAGGGGATTGCACTGTAAATCATCTGACTCTGGAGTAAAGTCAGTGGAGAAGTAGAGACACGGGGCAATTGTGGGAGAAGGAGGGGGGAATCGAAGGAGGAATCTACTGGGGAGTGATGAGAAATTATACGGGTTTCATTTTGATATTTATCTGCCTGTGATCAACACCTCCGCAAAACCACAGCGTAATCTCTCTCATATTGGCAAGTGTGTCATCCTCTCTAAATTGCATGTTTGAAACAACAAAGGCAGTGACTTCACAGAGAACTGCCAGGAGCAGCTCTGTACAACTCTGGTTTGTTGGGAATTTAAAAACGGAGCAACCGGTTTTGTGTGATGGGTGGATCCAGAGCTAATATGTAGGGCGTCTGAAGCTGTGGGGCTGGAGCTGGTTGGCAGCTGCTGGTGCATCTAAAGCACCTTTATGGAGTGGTGTGAGCTTGATGTGTTTCCCCAACTCTAGGAACCTGGCGTGGTTATGGGTTGTGGTTGCAGCGTGACTGGATTAATCAGAGACACCAGATTGCTGCCAGACCCTCTGCTGGTGTTTTGACTGTTTGCATCTGGAGAAATTCAAGACATATTTTCAAATGGAAAAAACAACAACCCCTCATTAGGGTTTGCAGACTTAATTGACAAGGGAGTCGGGTGGGGTGTATTTTTTTGTTTCTGGCGGTGTTCAGATCAATGCATTGAGTACATTTGGGTCTTGCCAGGAAGCTCAAAGCGGTGTATATGGTTCTTCTGTCCCCCGTTTTGTTCTTACAACAACCCTGTGAGGTAGGGATAGTCTGAGAGTCCAGCTGGTCTGAGATCATCCAGTGAATTTCTTGGTGGTGTGGGGATCTGAACCCACGTCTGAACTTGGCCATCAGTCTTCATCTCTAGGTACTTACTTTCTTATTTAAGAAATATTTATTTATTTCAGACATATCAGCCGCCTTTCTGCCTTGATAGTAATTCAAGGAGGCTTACAATGCAAGTAATAATATATATATTTTTTAAAAAACCTAGTTAAAATCAATAATTTAAAACTACCAGTAGGCAGAAGTACTAATCAAATGTCTTCATGAATAAAAGTGTCTTTAGCGGCTTCCTAAAGATGGAGAGTGCGGGAGCCAGGGGCATCACCCTGGGCAGGTTCTTCCATAAACATGGGGCTGCCACTGAAAAGGACCTGTCTTCTGTACCCATCAGACAAATGTGGTGTTGGGGCAAAAGAGACTGGACTTTGGGCTTCTTGGGCTGTGATCACATACACTAAAAAATCCACTTCCAACGCACTTTCAATGCACTTTCCAACTGGATTACTGGCAAAATCCAGCTGGAAAGTGCATTGAAAGTGGATTATTTCGTGTGTGATCGCAGCCTTGGAAACCAGTGCCAGAAGCCTTGTCCCCATGTATCTCTCATAGCCATTGGTAGTCAGTTGTGTGGTAGAAGCATCCTGTCCATGCTCAGGAAGATTATCATCTTCGCTGTTTCTGTGTTGACAAACTTTGGTATGCACTGGCCATAGAATTCCTCACATACCCTCTGCTATTGCTGCCAGGGTTCTCTTCATCTCACGTGGCCTATCTTTGACTTTTATCCGCAGACCCCTAAAGTCTAGCCCGTCTCAGGGTGGCGGGGGGGGGGGCTAACATGGGACACAAGAGTCCTGATACTTTTGAAAAGAAAAGCTGCTTCCAGAGGGAGAAACTGGAAGTAAGGAAGCAAAATGCGGACAGGAAATACTTAAGTTATTCCCCACCTGAAGGCTCTCTGTCCCAACCTTTCTTCCCTTAGGTGTAGAGAAAGAAACAATTAAGGGCCACCTTCCAACTTGCTGGTTCTCTGCTCCAAATTTTCCCCTCCCAAAGTTGGTGTGTGTGTTTTAAGGAAAGCCATTGACTCTTTTTAGGTGCATTTGTGGGTCAAGGAAAGGAGGTTCAGTAGTAGGGCAGATGTGTTTCATTCAGAAGGATGTTAGGTGTTCAAGGGAAGACCTTTCTCTGCCTGAGATCCTGGCTAGCTACGGCCAGTCGGAGTAAAGGTAAAGGTTCCCTTGCTCGAAAGCCAGTCGAGTCCAACTCTAGTGTTGCGGTGCTCATCTCCGTTTCAAAGCCGAAGAGCCAGCGCTGTCCGAAGACATTTCCGTGGTCATATGGCCGGCATGACTAAACACCAAGGTGCACGGAACGCTGTTACCTTCCCACCAAAGTGGTACCTATTTATCTACTTGCAATTTCTTGCTTTTGAACTGCTAGGTTGGCGGGAGCTGGGACCAGAGACGGGAGCTCACTCCATCATGCAGCACACTCGGGTCTCGAACTGCTGAACTACCGATCTTCCACAGCCTGCAGTTCAGCGTCTTAACCACTTGAGCCACCGCAGCAGTTGGAGTGGACAGTAGTAAATGGGCCAGTGTTCTGACTCAGAGTAAGGTGGTTTCTCTTGTGGAGTTAGCCCCTGAGCACACTCACACTGCCTTAAAAGCAGGGAGGGGCTGTGTCTCAGAGCATCTGTTTCATATGCAAAAGGTCCCAGGTCCAATCCCCAGCATCTCCAGTTAGAAGAAACAGGTTATAGGTGATGTGAAATATGTCTGCCTGAGTCCCTGGAGAGCTGCTGCCAGTCTGACCCTGATGGTCCTGTTTTTATTTATTTATTTTTTCAGTGTAAGGCGACTTTATTGTTAAGCACTCAGTAATTGTCCCTGCAGATGCCCCACTCCTGTATTAGGAGAAGAAACACAAGGTCAGAAATCTAGCATTTCTCTTTGTAAACAAATCAGGCCAATTTGCACGGTATAAAAGCCTTGGGTGCATTTGGTGAGACTAGGTTTTTGCTGACAGCCTATCTTAAATTTGCATTGAAGTTACAGTTACATAGGAGCTGCGGTGGCTCTAGTGGTTAAGACGCTGAACTGCAGGCTGTGGAAGGTCAGTAGTTCAGCAGTTCGAGACCTGGGTTGCCGCATGATGGAGTGAGCTCCCATCTCTAGTTCCAGCTCCTGCCAACCTAGCAGTTCGAAAGCCAGAAATTGCAAGTAGATCAATAGGTACCACTTCGGTGGGAAGGTAACAGCGTTCTGTTCACCTCGGTGTTTAGTCATGCCGGCCACATGACCACGGAAACGTCTTCGGACAGCGCTGGCTCTTCGGCTTTGAAACGGAGATGCGCACCGCAACCCTAGAGTCGGATTCGACTGGCTTTCGAGCAACGGAACCTTTACCTTTTACCTTGCTGAGAGCTCTCCTTTGCGAATTTAATTCCCAGGCGCATGAGAGTAGAGTTAAGGTAGGGACGGTGGGGAAACAGGGCTAAATCCCACCCCCACTGCACTGATTTTTTGGTGACCTGAAATGACTCCAGGGACCCACTGCTTGCATCATTATGGAAACGTAAGTGTGGTCATCAGTGGCGGCCACAAGGAATATCACCTGTGAGTCAGCCCTTAGTTTGGA